CTGGGATAGGCTCCAGCTCACCTGCAAGCATTATCATTTGAAGCGCTATCGAACAAATTCTGTCGTATGAAACATTCCTGTGGCTGTGTGCTTTTGTATCTCTTTGTTTTCTTCCCTGTAAAAAAGCAAAGTAACTGGAGATTATTAGATTGTCAAAAAAAAAAAGTGTTTTCACTCACGGAGGCAGCACTTCATCCCCATTCATTCTGTGGGGCCAATTGTTTGCTCTGACGATCCGGGGCGGAGATCAGGTGTTGCGACTAAGCAAGCGGCTGAATGACAACAAATCGTCTCCACAAAATCTCCTCTGCCTCCACAGATCAGAGCATGTTTGTGACCTTTTATGACTTGATCTTGACGTGAGACATTCGTTTGGGTTCCAGCTATCCCAGCGGCCTGAAGCCTCTTGACAGTGTGTTGCCTTCTCTAGTAGTGTAGCACCACTGCAGTCAACGTCAGTGATATTTTTAGCCATTGCTATAATACTTGAATTATGTAATCTACACAAAAAAAAAAGAAAAAACGTCATGACTGGATTGTACACATTTCTACGCTTCTTTTAGTCAAGCGGTTTCCGTTCCATGTCGCAGGCTGTTTGTGTCTAATCATCGTAACCCGGCTAACGCTGACTTATTCATGCATGCATGCATCATCACATTTGCAGTGTGTTTTGGTACCCCTGGTGCCAGAGCCACACTGTTTTTTTTTTCCTGCCCTTGGCATAAAATAGCCCCAACTAGGTCATAAATGGCTTTCGCAACCTCACTCGGTCACGGCGTATAATTTGCCAGTGTAAAAATAGACACGTGAATATGCCAGGGTTCATTCACAACTTTCAAGTCTTACCACACAGCTTGTCGTCAAAATGAAACGTTGCGATAAAACAAGCTTGTAGATCACGTGACGCCCGTGTGTGTTCGCACTCCTGTTAAATGTTGGTGAGCGATCAGGAACACAATACAAATGTGAAAGCTCCATCCGACAAAAGTCAAAGCGGCCGTGCCTTTAGGGTTTGACATGTCAGTGTTTCGGGCATTGTGAGACTCGCTTGAAAGTGGCTCTGGAACTCGACACAGCGCATCCTCCAAGTCAATGTTGGATGGCGATGTTGATGAGCTGAATTGAGAAGACACTTTTTCAGGAATATGCAAACAAAAGATTGACTTGGTTGTTCATTTTTGCAAACGGGTGGGCAGGCTTATTTTTACACAAGCCATGAAAGTCACAATGGGATCGTAGAAAAATTTGTATGGTACTGTTACAGTTTGGGAAATAAAAAAGCACCTGCCATGGTTCCTTCAACACAGCACACGTCATCTCGTGTCCTTTGAGATGACAACAGACAAAGTTTCTCTCTTTGTGTTTGCGATCTGGCGGTTGCAGCCACGAGTTCGTTACACTGAAATCACAGCAAAGCAAATCTTGCATGTAGCGATAGCGCACGCTTCTTTTGTGGGCGAAATGGGCAGACAGAAAGCTACCGAGTCTTTTTGTACTCAAGTCTCCTCCCTATCTGAGGTGGTGAGCGCAACACAGGCGGCCCGCGTGACAAACAATCTGCAAACAGCCGTTTGCGAGGCCAGATACTGCGGCTAATTAGCCGCTTAGCCGCTGCCCATTAAAACAGCATGGCCAAATGCACTTTGGACGGTGTCGATACCGGAAATCCGCACAGTGCGACCGAGCTTTCGTTGCCAGGGTTTCTTCTTCCTAAAATTGAAATCGATGACCACCAAATTTGTAATCATTTGTATTTTTGTGCTTTTTCTATGAACGCCCAAAGACTACATGACATGCTGCCAAAGCCCTGGCTGATAGCAAAATGAGTAAGTGATACTTGACATCTGTCGTAAGCAAGTTGTGTGTTCAGCAGGAACTAAGTTTAGCCTGGGTTGCGATGGAGAGTCCCGGCTGCACGCACAAGTCTACTTTTGGGGAAATCAAATCAGAAGCAAACTGTTTTGGGATCATCGTTTCGGGCGCATTTTTTGTAACTATTCATGTCAAAAAATTATTTTCAGAAGGGGTGTCACAATTCATGGCTCTGTCATTTTCCTCCCCGCAAATAGAAATCTGGTGGGGAACTGCCCAGTTTGCCCCAACAAACTTGGTTGCGAAGGTGTCACTTGTTTGCAAAAAAAATAACAAAAATTGAGTAACAACATTAAACTCAGCATATGCGCTCTAATGAGACTTTTAGTTTAGTGTCTATTGTTTTCTCAATATGTGTTGCGTGTGACTCACACAACAAAGCTTGAGCAAGCAGATGAAGCCAATATTGGGGCTTACGGGGCAATTCCAACCCGCCGATGTGGAAGCTCAAACAGAAAGCTCCAGGCTATTATTCAAATCTAGTGCCGCTTCTTTTTTTTTTTTTTTTTTTGCCATGGCTTTTTCCACCAAAGCTCGCTAGGCCGAGGCAAAGCTTGCTTGACGGGTTTAATCGTCTCACTCGGAGGGGAAAAAAAAAACAGCGTGTGAAGCTCCATGCCAATTCCAAGTTAAGGAGATACAGATGAGGAGTTCCATTCGGGGAGGACAAAGCGTGGCCAGCAGGCTTCCATTCTTTCATCCAGCCCGCCGAGCATTTACTTTTTACGTTTTCATTCCTATTATGATCTATACATCAAAATAATATTGAGGACGAGGGGTAGGCCAACAGACGTTTTTTTAAAACCTACCCCAGTAGGTTTATTGCTGCTAATTATCTTTATCTGCTTGTGGTCAAATAAAGTCATGAATCAGTTTTCACGAGTCCTGGAATATTTGTTGTTAATCGAACAGTTGTTTTGTTTTGTCTTGATATATCTGAGGGCATTTCATAAAGACCACAAAAATAAAAAAATTGACGAGTTTTTCAGCGAATTGATGAACTGCGTGTGGGGCGCAGGACATTTTTGAGACCTAACAGGATAAATTGGTCATTTTTATATTTCTTTGGGGAAAATCAGACTTTGATCCCACTTTCCACTTCACAATGTCAACAAATTCAGAGAGGTTATTATGAAGTCCGCCTCCTGGGTCTCCGCTGTCTTATTAGATGTCAGCGAAGGTATGCACACATGTGCATGTCAGAGCACGTGATTGACAGCTGCGGGGTTCCAAGTGAAACAGAAGGACAGCACATCTCTCCCTCGCCTTGTCCTCTCCTCTAATTTGTCAGACGTATGCGCAGCTCGTCTCATGGAAACGGGAAACCACGCCTCGCTCGCTCGGCTTATTTGACTGCAGTCAACCTTCTGACCCGACTTAAGTTGACTTTGGTACCGTCACATGATTAGTAGCCTACGCTTAGGATGCTTTGGTTTTTTTTTCCCCCCTACCAGAGAGCGTCTATACTCCTTTTCGGCCAGAGAATTGTTGAAAGCCGGCGGCCATTGGCAATGAATTGCGTTTCATGTTTTTTGGAATGGTGAATAGACAATTTGTACTGATCCATTGCGGTATGTTTGCGTCTTCGTCCAAAGCAGAAAAATGACAAAATAAGTTGGGGAGTCGAGTGAACAGCTGGTTGGGGGGGTGTAGCATTATCGCACTGAGAGGTTGGTGACTAAGCTGTGAAGTTTATTTCTTCATATTAAACAAAATCGTAATGCTCCCCCGGAATACAATCAAATGTAGCTAAACGCGCCTGAATGGCCTGTGGAACGCAAGAGGCAATTAGTTTGTTCTTTCGCTTAGAACTCACTCGAGGTACATTTAAATTCAAGTCGATTTTTTTTGCTGCATATACTCAATTTACCAGTTTTGAGAAAATCATCATTGCTGCTCATTGGCCATGAGGTCCCTCAGAACACATTTAGGATATTTTTACTTTGTCAGCCGGTCAAAGGCAAGGGGCGGAGCTTGGGTTTTGCATCAACCAAAGGCTGCTCACAGTTGTTGACCTCGTGTCAAAAAAAAAAAAGCAACAATCTAGTGACTTTTTTGGCAGTGCTGAAGACTTGTGAAGACATTGACTCCCCCCGATCCCCCAAGCCCGAGATGTCCACCTGACCGTGTCCGGACTGCAAATGAATGGCGCATACTCAAAGGCAGCATTGTCCGGTTCCACCACACCGAGCGCTCATAAAGGCTGGATTGTGTTTTCTGTTATGGAAGCAGCACTTCGTCAAAACGCCGTCAAATTACTTTGTCAATTAGTGCAGTGGATCTTTGCACTTGGCGCAAAAATAATGTCATTACCCCTGCTCCATGTCGACAACTTTGCCCATTGTTCACGCACAGATCGCCGATCAGAAGCCAACGGCCGGTGTTAGCCTTTGCTGTTTACCTTCGCACTGTGACATCATAGCGCTTCCATTTACATTCAACAGTGCGGTGGAAATTCACTCATTGACGAAAGATTTTGGAGACTCAACTATTTGTAGACAAGCAGTTAAAAAAAGTTAATCATTCATAACATGTCCCCTTTCGGTGCTCTGTCAGAGCACTGTTTCAATTCGTGTTCAATGGGTGGCCAATCTGATTATTTTCCCATTATGCAAAATGGATGTCTAGAGGGATGATTCAGAACAGGAACCAAATCTTTTTCTTTATGAAACACTCATCAGGGTGGACCAAGTTTATCCAGGAAATGCCTGTGTGGGTTTTAAGCGATGCACAAACCTGCGCAAGTGTACAAAGTCAAACGTGTGGCGAGAAGCACACATTTGCATTCTCGTCTACTGAATCTGTTGAAAAGTCAAAGAAGTGGGCGTTGTGCGGCAATACTGAATAATAACAGCAGAGGCGGACGACGACGAGTTAGATGAAAAGCTAGAAATGGAGATTTCCTTCTGGATGAATCATCACTTGTAAAAATGACGTCGGCGAGAGAGAAAATAGCAGCAGTTTATTTGTGCACGTATACTTGGCAGCTCGTTTATTCTTATCGTGCAAAAATAGATCCGATGAGTTGACATTTTCGCACTAGAAGACCCATGACCGACAGTGGATGCCATGATTCGTAAGACTGCATGACGAGAGTTCCCCTTAATTCTGTGATTTTCTACCAACAGTGACTCAGTGTGTGTGGGCACTGGGCTGCGGACCCCATTATGAATACGCCATCGAGGAGTTCTGCTTGGCCAAATTCAGACTGGACATGCAAGAGCTGGACCAGGGACACTGGTGCAGCTGGGAGGACACCGTCGAGTGAGTTCTGCAAACGCAACATTTACATGTTGACAAACAAAGGCTCAATATTTGCATGAGGCTCATTCATTCATTTGCAGGAAGTTTAACCTTTTTAGTTGAAAATGACTTACTTTAACCTCCAGGATCCCACACTGTACCCTTGGCAACGGCAGAACAAAATGTTTTTTTTTTCCCCTCTTGGGTCCCATTTTAAATCCATCTCTGTTGCTAGCAGGCTCATGCGAGCTCACACTAAGCTAGTCAGTCCCCTTGGATCAAGCTGTCCGTCAGTTTGAAACGTGAGCATCATACGCGTCACTGAGTTCGTTTAGTCGGGCAGCCGTTGTGTGTATTGTAAAAAGATATCAGGGCCACGGGCCATCATCACCATCTCATTTTAGGAGCACAAAAACAGAGCAATGAGTACAAACATGAAAAAGAATCAGAGATAATGACGCGAACGAATCTCAAATATGGGCACAAGGCGGCAGAGAAGGTCAAGTGGACTTATCAGGACGGTCGATCGAAACTCGAGGGAAATCTGACGCGTACGTGTATGCGTACATGTGTTTAAATTAAAAGGCAGGCAACTCCCTTATCTCTCTTCTCTACTTTCCATCCTGAGTTGGCACCGATAACGTTGAGAAATCCAGGGATTAAAGGCTAATTTCACCTCAAATGCGACACAGGATTTAGTACACCCTGCACCTCAGTGTCATCACAGATGGAATGAAACGTTAAATGTCACTCATGTTGCGCTGTCCTTGCGACACGTGACTACGTGCGGCTCGACAGCCAGCGAACCAGTAAAGAAAACTGCGTAGGCAAGGCTTACTTTTCTTGCTTTTCTAAAGTTCTCTTGCCCCAACAAGATGAAAAAAGGGATGCGTGAGTATGTTGTGGTAAAAAGACGAAAGTCTATCAAGGCTCAAGTGTTTGGCGTACACTCACGGCGTCAATGAGCAGTTCTGAACCAACTGGTCTTATATACACCAGAAATACGTCAAAGATCTACTATTGACAACAGATGCGCTTACGTTACTGAAAGGCGGAATGATCCTCAAAAACGGAGGATTTACTCTCACGTTTTTCCCATACATTTTGCACTATGAAATAGACGATAATATCGAACTTATATTCAAATATCAACGTATTCACAACTTTTCAATTAACACATTAAACTCAGGAAATATGAATGTCTCTTCCCAGGAAGACAGGACACATTGATTTCGAAGACTAATGGACTGCGGTTTGTTCTTTAATTGTATATATTTTGTGAGGAACAAATTGATGAACACTACATTATACATACAACAGGGTCAAGCTATTAACTTTTGACAGTTCTACAGATTTGTATCTCTTGAGCATCTCGCGGCAATTTCTAGAATTCTTTCCCAAAAAGTCCAAACCAAGTCAGTGTACCTGTATCGAGCCTCAATTAATGTGCCTATTTGGCCATCATATCTCATTTTTAATAACACCTTCTATTTTTCCTTTACATTCCTCCTCTACATCTATTCTGGGACTCTGGTAGCATACATAATTCACAGCATGCGCGCATTCCCGCAGTGCAGCCACATTCCCTTCCACTGCTCTGAGTGTCACACATCGCGCAAGGCTTCTTTTGTTTCACGTTGAAAGAGAATTGAATTAAGAGCTGACATCTTGACTGACAAAGTCAAAATGCTTTGTCCTTTCCCTTCTTCCTCTCGAGACGCACCGCACTTCTCCTCTCGCCGTCCTCTTGGCTGAACCCGGAACGTGTGAGGCAGACGTGCTAGCAGTTCCATCACAAAAATCGGTTTGAATTACTCATTACGAGTGTTTTGTTTCTTTTGCGTCAGTCTGGTCTGTCTGTGGGATTCGTGAGCCTCCGTTGCTTCGTAGTCGTCGAGTCCGGACGAATTTGGCAGCGGTCGTGTGATGACGTCCGCGCGACGACGGCCTTTGTCGCTTGCCGAAGAGCTTCTGATCAAACACTTGACATAATCCGCTTTTTATTAATATGCTTTCTCTTCGCTCTGCTTTAATTGATGCGCCCGCCAAGCTGAGCGACCGGAGGCTCTTTATCGTCGTCTCATTCCGCTTCCTTGCGCGTGTTAGCCAAATTGATGCGTGATTACTTCGAATGAAATCACAATTTCAGATGAACATGAAATATGAGCTACATTCAACAAGTATGAGATTTCATCCTAAAAGAGAGGCTTCCGATTCTGATAGTTACATGTAAGCACAGAAGACATTCCATGAAATTATCCATCTGGGGGCTACTAGTTCCACTTGATGATTAATCCAAATTACAGCTGTATTTGTTCCCCCCGGTCTTGTCTCCGTTTTGTTTTTGTTTTTTAATACCCCAGGCTCCTGGTATAAAAATAGCTCAGTATCTTCTTCCAACATTTTTTTTTCATTGTTTGAGGCTGTTTAGTTCAGTCATCCGTTCAAGCCTGTCAGCTATCTGTAATCATTTTCCAAAGTCTTTGGTGTATGAGCTCACACTGGATTGGGGACAAAAGTGAGGCCCGGGCAAAATTGTGCACTCAGTAATATGGAAAGCAGCAAAAAAAAAAAAAAAAAAAAGATTCTGTGACATGTTCCAATTAAGCGTCTCATTAGATATCAAGTTGGAAATGGATTATTGGTGCTTTTTACCGCTCCGGCGACCTGATAGCATCAAGTAATGTGGAGATTTTCACGCTGTTATGAGAATTTAGTAGGTGCTGGATGACGATTTAAAGATACGGATGGAAGCTTTTATGTGATGACGTGCTGAGCAAAAACCACGGAACTTGTTTTTTTTTTCTCCCATTATCATGAGCTGAACTCAGGCTATTTCAACAGTTGGCCTCTCCTCATTTGTTTTGGTTTGATGGATTTGGAGTTCCATCATCCTTCCGCTCACGTACTACGATTAAGTTTCAGGTGTTCAGTCCGACGCTTCAGTGGTCGTCTTCCTTCAAGGGAGACTTGAAATGAGAAATGCAGCCGCCGTCTGAAGTTGGCCACCAAAGCGAGCGCCAACTTGTCATAACCGACGGCTTTGGTGAGAACAACAATATGGCAATTGACCGTCGCGCCTGATATGAACCTTTGAACCTCCGACTGTTATTGCAGATCGTAATTCACAAAGCTATTATTAGTCCGCTGTTGGCAGGGCGCCATTGCGAAAATCGCTGGCATGACAAACATGTCTTATGGCTTGGAAAGTAACACATTCGATGCGGTCAAGAGAATCCATTTGAATTCAATAAAAATCCAATTAAAAAATGAAATACAGTTTGTTCCTCGAATTTGACCAAATTACAAATAAAGCAATGACCCTTCCAATAGGTACAGTGTTTGTTTATAGAATTGTATTAGCGGCCATTTCCTCAATATTCCTCATAGGCGCTGAGTGCAAGCGAAGGGAAGGGCTTAATGGCGCTAAGGAACAATGCTGACGTCCGGCCCAGCGCCGCTTGCCAGTCTCCTCCTGTCCGTCCGTACGTGTGAGTGGTGGAATGTCAACACGTCGGGCATCAGCGACTTTCTTCCCTCCTCCGCCGAGACAATTCAATTATGCCCGTCAGGTCGTCCAGAAAATGAATGAGCCGTTCCCGATTCCCGGGGCTCCAGTGAATTGCCGCCAATTAGTGCGTCCACAATAGTAATTTGCAGGACGTCTGAAAATATCCGCCTGCCTCTGGCAACCTTTACCAACGACCAAAACACGGCGTAACCACGACACAGCTCCGCATATGGGTCAGTCTTGCCACGGGTTGCTTTTCAGAACAACAACATGAAATGTTCTTCAAGCAATTTATTTCCACTCCGGGTTCAAATGTATTTTCAAAGTAAGCATAAAACAAAGATAATTACGCCGTTGTGCAGTTAAAACAATCGCATAGCTTTGATAAGGACACAGTACGTTTGTTTAGCTTAATGCTAACAAACGATGCAAAATGCTTTCGGCTGGCTAATGAATACTATGAGTGTCCCGGTATTTGGAGCCCTATCATTGGAGCAACACATGCAGGAGGACACCATAGCAAAAACTGACAACCACACTGCGTAATCTTTATCCTCAGCAAAGAATGATCAATGTCACTGAGGCTGACTGAGAAGTTTTGTACTCGTGTATCTGCATGTCTTTATTATTCTGTCCCCAGGTGGCCAAGGTGGAGCATCATGCCCACTGAATACATTCAAAATTGTCACTTAATATGGTGGAACAAAAATGTTGTATTCGGGAGCAGGCGGGGGTCTTCAATGTCGTGTCTCTCACATTTTAAGAATCTCGTTGAAATCTTAATGGTTTCTTATGGGACTTCAGGATGTTTGTACATAACATCATGTGCTTTGAATGTACCCAAGTGCCCCCATAGGAATGTTCTCCAAAATGTCTGAATCCGAGTAAAAGCAGGAAACAACGGCATTGGATCATTTTGGAGCGTCAACAGATCAAAAGCTATTAAAAGAACAAGTCAACTGCTGTTTAATAAATACACCATGAGCACCAAAATTATCGAAAGCAAGGTCGAACTTGGATTTCAGCGTACAGTTTTGTCTTTACCCTCATCGCTTCTTTTGTTTTTTTTCTTTTGGTCAAGTTTGGTTCAAGGGATTAATTAAAAATGAAAGACTGACCTGAATACGACAGTCACGGCTTGTTGTGTGAGGACAAGAACATCACTTGGGTGCCGACTGCACAAACAGGAAATGAGGGAAAACTGCACGGGGGGCTCTGGGAGTTCCACTGGGGGAAGGCCCGAACGTGATGCGTGAACCACATTTGGGACATTTGCGAGATGAACTCATAGCAAAGCCTCTCAAACAAAAGGGTACCAATTTTTGACACATGAACCAACTAAGTATGAGTGATACGACACATGACCAAGAGGAGAAGTAATGGAAGAAGCTAGGCTAACTGCTATCTTATCGTTCCCTTTCAGTTATATCAGGAAAACCGTCCAGCCAATTATCGGTATGTGTGTACTCTGCTTAACCAAACATATCAGCAATTACCATGAACTTGATTACAATAATATCGCAAACCTTACATTTTCGGTGCTTGCCGTATTGTAATCATTACAATGGCAAACCTGTAGAAGTTTAACATGTACGATTGTCAACCATTAGCCGATCAGAGAGGGAAAATCCTTCTTTGCACATTGCACAAGATAATAGCTCAGCCACCTCTTTCAGAAACAATCGATAATCGGACCTTGCTGACTTTGATTGAAAGGGGGGGGAAATGCTCAAATTTGACCAGATTATCGTTATGTGTGTGCTGCACTTTTCCACGCCAGTCTCTTATCAGCCATGAAATTTCACCTCACGTGAGACAGCAAATCCAAACAGGTTTAAAACGTACAAGTGTTGGCACTGACTGTTTTCCGAGCGGATCGGGAAAAAAAAAAATCACTCTGAACTCACCACGCACCACAGAGTAAATGCTCGAGATTAATCTTTTGGAGACATGCAGCAATTGGTCCTTTGCTAACTTTAATCAGAAGGCAGAAAACATTTAAAGACATTTTTCTTCAAATCAGCATCAAAAATACATTCAGGGACACATAAAGCCACCGCTGATTAAAAAGTGCTGTTGATCAGTGTGACTGCTTTTTAGTGCACACAAAGCCAAATACAATTGATGGAGCTTTTCGAAATAATTGACGCTGCTGTAATCGAAGAATATTTGACCCTTGGCAATTAATGAATCTCCTGTCCTAAAATGCTTCATAAATCTGTCCCATCAAATGTTACCATCAGCTGGCATTGGGATGGATTGAACTGCCTTTTTTTTTTTAGTTGTTTCTTCAGTTTACAAGCTGCTCGTGTATGAGTCTGCGACCTGCTGAAACAATAACGCTGCTCCACCATTTTGGCAGCGAGGAGGGGGCCACATTTCTCCGCCCACCTCCTTCAAAGAGCGAACTCTTGCCTTGCATGGCTGAGATCCACTTTGCCATTGATTGCTTATCGTCAAGGACGGCAAGTAACAGTCGATGAGGAAGGACACAAAACGCAACTCACACTGAGCTCGCCTTCGGCAGCAGAAGCAAACGCCATTGATTTCATTTATGCGACATTCGTCTGCTCTTGGTGGTTGAATTGACTTGAATTCCGATGAATTGAATTTGACAGCCAGCATTTGTGCATTTTTTTTTTTTTTTTTTTTACAAACTCCTACTAAATATGAGTTTGTGTCATCAGGTCAATGTGAAAAAAAAAATCAAATAAAAATCATGACTCAGCATTAATAACGTTGTGACTGACGCTTGTCAACATGTCACCACCGTTCCAGACTGTATGGCGAGCTGACCAACTGCACCTACCTGGTGGCGCTCAAGATGGACTGCTTCTGGCCCAACCTGCTGGTGGACGACTTCTTCATCCGCGTGCACAAGACCTACTTCCACAATTGCTCGTTGTCGGGACGTCTGCTCAGGGACCCCCCCAACCGCATCCTGGGCCCCTTCATCGCCATGCCCATTCTGGTCACCCTGCTCGTGACTGCGCTGGTGGTGTGGAGGAGCAAGCGCAGCGAGGGCATTGTGTAAGCACAGCGATCCGTCGAGGAGCCCGTTTCTTCGAGGGGGAACCTTGGATGTGAGGAAAAAAAAAAAACAAAACTGATGTGAATGATGGACAAGAATCGAGCAGCTATTTATATGACCTTGACCGCACTTATACAGCAGACAGTAAAGCCAGGGTGAGGCAGCTTTTGCTAATCTATATTGAGCCAAGGCGCATATCGTTGCCGCTGGGTGGAATCCTCAACCCTCTAAAGTCATCACTTTTCACAGGAGCCCCAAAACGCCATCTCTGTGCCACTGTGGACGTTGCATCATCAAAGAGAGCAAGCCATCGTCAACAATTTAGATTGGTGGATAATTTGTAAAAAATAACCCCCACACCCGCGGACCCCCACACATCTATACCAGTAGTATAGATGTATAAAAAAAATATGGCGGTGACCAAATTGCGACAGGGCCCAAGATAAGCGAAAAATCTCCTGGCACACCACTAAACGAAAATGTAAAAACGTACACTGGAATCAAACCAAGAAAATTCTTCAACTGGGCCTGCTTAGTTGAACACAGAACTGACACAGTCACGGGTTGTAGAGTAGATGTCGCTGGCATTGATGGATTTACAGTGGAACCTTGGTTTTCAGGGTTAATCTGTTCCTAAAAGTCAGATTAAAGCAAAAAAATCTGGAGCAATATTTCTGATCGGAAACACCGTCATGTAAATCTAATTAATGCACTTTAGAAACCCCAAAATATTTGATAAAAAGACATTATTGTATTTTATTTTTTATTATTGTTATTATTATTATTATTATTATTTATTTATTTATTTTTTTAAACAAATACTTTCAAAATGCTTCCGAAGAACGTTTGAGGTGAGGGTCACTCAAGAAAAGCCTCAAAGTGTCGCTTTGTGTGGGGTAAGATTCCAGGAAACGGGTGGGTGAGAGCAAGCTGAGGCGTTCGCTACGGACCATTTTTCAACTGTACCAAAAGTGAGCGCGTGTATGCAAATTGGGACCAAAATTTTAGCAAAAAAATGTTGGAAACCGAACCGTACGAAAACCGAGGTTTCATTGTGTATGAGGAAATGCAAAGATAGCACGGACATTCGCTTTTAAAAGCATCGCCTCTTTAATGAATTTGTCAGAGTCACTGTTCTGGGTTTTGAGCTTTGACTCATCTATGGATTTCGCGGGGGTACACACATACTGATAATCTGGCCAAGTGAATGAAATGTGAGTTTTCCTCGCCAATCTGCTTGGAAAATTGTCGACCTGTTGAATATTTCAGATTGCTAATCAACAAATTTGGTACAATAAAAATGACAAGAAGAGTTTGCCACTGCTGAACACTTCCCAGACAAGCTAGCATTTCGCATTTCTACTTCTTCTTCTACTGTAGTAGTCTGGATGTCCTGTGGCACCACGCTGCCTCACACAGGTCGGTCTTGGTGCTACAACGTGCATTCAGTTTGGCGGAGTAGATTTGTTGTTATCAGTGGAGATATGGTTGTGTGTAATGCGCTTTAGCTCGGTCGCATTTTCAAAATGGGCTAAAATGTTAAAACTCAAGATTTGTGTCCCCCACTCTAGTCCCCCCCCCAAGATATTTTTGTCAAACTATAGAAATACACACAAACAAACCCAATTTCAAAATGTTCTCCCCTGATCTCTGTTTGTAGTACTTGGAGAGTCATCATCCCCCAAAATGCTAAATATCCAACTGAATGACGAATTCAAAGAGGAAAGCACAATCAAACCACCAAAAGAATTCAAGCTTGAGATCAAGTTGCCCAACGCGCAGCTCTGCTAACGGCTGCCAATGCCGAAAGCGAAGCTTTTATATCGCAGACCTGAGCTTTGTATTGATTTATGATCTGCCAGCGTGGTGTGCGAACGCTTTCCTCATTGATATTTTTGAATGCTCTCTTTCCTCTTCAGGGAGCTTGAGCTATAACCTGCCTGTCAGGAAAAAAAAACCTAATAAACACAAACAAAACACACCCACTCCTCCCCAACATGCTCCTACTTTGTACTTTGTATCAAAAACTGAAGGCGGCATTTGCAACAGAAAGAATGTCTCGAAATCATTGAAATGTACCATCTGAACAGAAAGGGAAACGTGAATAAAGTGTCTTCTTGTGTGTCAGGACTGGACGTTTTGTGTTACCTTAAAGAAAACAAAAGTTTGTTGGGTTTTTTTCTTCGACTGCACTTTTTTCTGATTACCAGTTATGATTCAGTCTGTTATGTGTAAATTATTTACACACAAAAGAAAAACAAAGAAAATAATGAGGAGAGCTGTAAAGTGGATGTTTTTCAAAGCTTTTGCCGTTGCGTCACCGTGTGATCGTTGACCTCGTAAGAGAAGTGTTTTCTGTAAAAATGCCGCGGATGGCACTTGATGCGAGCGTGGGCACCCGCGTTCTCTTTCGCTGGTTTGTTTGGCAGGGATGAGAAGCCAAATGTCACAAAGGCCCAGGCTTGCGCAATGCCGGGTTTGTGTTTGGCCCCACGTGTCCCGTGTTTTTTTTTTTCCTTCATACATCATTTCGCTGACAATCGACAGTCGCTCTCGGCGTTGGCGTCATGTCAGAGATCAAGCTAGCGATGGTTACCGAGGTCTTCCGGTGTTACGTAGCCGGGTTCCTTCTAACCATAGAGAGCGGATCACCATGACAACCTCAGTAAGGTTCAAATGCTCCGGAGCAGTTTAACGTCCCAACACGAGCCAAGAGCCTGCCTGCGCTGACCAATGACATCATTGCTGGGGGGATTGGTGGGGGGGGGGGTCTACCCTTGTGTACAAATATAGCACAACACTACCTGTTGTAATGTGGTGTTACTGAAGAGACGGGACGCCGTCCACTGAATCGTTGATCTCTGAAGAAGGAGACGACCGATAGCCGAGCCCGAGCAAGTTGCCGCCCGTCCTGTAAAAACACGGAATCGTCCTTTAATTGGAAATCAAACGTTGGTCCTGTATTGGAACCAATACGGCACGCGATTTGTCTCGTATTTTCCCCATTGTCTGTCACACACAAACGTGATCACTGAAATGAATAATCATCAACAAAATAAAAGACAGGAAATATTAAAGGCAGCAATGTGGTATCGGGACCCGCGAGCGAGGCCTACGTCTGGTGCCTTCTCCTGCACGCAGAATTCTTTTCATCTTTTCATTTGGGTTCGCACAACTCTTTAATTTTGTTGTCGTTATCTTTATTCTAATAAAGTGTCCCCAGACAGGCTTTGTTTCAGCTGTTATAGACCTCGACAGTATACGCGCGTAATTCAGTAGGCTCAAGTTCAGGCTATTCAGACGTGAACACGTATAGGGTTTCATTTTTATTCCTTCCTCTTCAAGTAAAGTTGTCCCCAGTTGTTACAGTGACAGCACTTTAGAGGCTATTTGAAGCCCAGCGCCTTTGCGCTGCTGCTGCCTGATTGTTTTGCACTTTTCCCCAATTCTTTTCATCTTTTCATTTGGGTTCGCACAACTCTTTAATTTTGTTGTCGTTATCTTTATTCTAATAAAGTGTCCCCAGACAGGCTTTGTTTCAGCTGTTACAGCCCTCGACAGTATACGGCGTAATTCAGTAGGCTCAAGTTCAGCCTATTCAGACGTGAACACGTATAGGGTTTCATTTTCATTCCTTCCTCTTCAAGTAAAGTTGTCCCCAGTTGTTACAGTGACAGCACTTTAGAGGCTATTTAATTTAAGCATTGTCCTCTTTCAGTAAAAGTGCCCTCAGACAGGCTCTGTTCACGCACGGATGTTCATGGCAGCGCCACAAACCCAAGCTGCGCAACAGTCAGCACAGCGGGAGGACCGTTACCGCGGCAGAATGGATGAGGAAAGTTGGGCAGAATCCACCGCAGTGCAGGTAGCGAAAGGAAAGAGAGGGTCCAGCCAGTTCGGATTTACCGCAACGAGGGAAGTGTTGAAAAGCCCGGGGTCTAACTTCAGCCACGGTTCGCCACTGGATCCTGGTAAAAATAAACCATTTCAACTAAAAAGAAACCTTTCAAACACAAGTGGCAGCCAAAAGGCACTGGCGTATTCTCCTTCTCATTGGGAATTTCCCAGCATACAAGCTCTTTTTTTTTAAATGTTAAAATCATGAGAATCAAGATCATTTTGGGCAATACGAAAGCAAAGAAAGAAAAACAACAAGTGCGGCGGTGACTGAGCAGGCCTTCTTGTCTTCTTACATGCTGATACTCTAAATGACGGAAATTAAGTTGAGAAAGTTCTTGAAATTAAGGCTGAAAGTATATACCTGTACTGCTTTCATCTCGGGATTTTCATTACCACTTTTTTTTTCAGACCGATACTAGTATTCACTAAGACTGATACACGAGCAGGCTACTTTTGATTCATCAAACACAAGACACAAACTAAATCTGTCCAAATAGCTGTGGACCAAACTCAATACCTGCCACTATATAAGGAGTGGTGGAAGACGTGAGAGCAGACATGGTTTCCCTACCCTCTGTCCCCACCGGACATCATAATGTCATTCACAGATGTTAGCAGTTTATGTGGATGTTATTTTCCGTGTGTGTCTGTGTGTGTTTGTCTGTTCTCCTCCCATTCCCAGGCATCCCTCGTGAATTTCTGTCTTATTTGAAATTTCCCCAGCGTAACTTGGGCTAAATGAGGTTTGAACGAGAACCTGGCCTGATAACAACAACAACAACAACAACGAGGACAAAAAGTAGATGGAGTGCTTTTCTGGCAACCCGCCGTCAAATTGGTGAGGTGGTGTCCAGATGATCTGTCATCTCAAGTGTTTTCGTCACGCCGGGCTCGCACGCTTGCACTTGGAGGCACTCATGGTGACTTGTCTGGTGAGATTGTTGACAGAACAGCCATGCCAAATGTCACTCTGTTAATTACCAAGCCCGCGCTAAACACCACTTGGAAAGTTGAAATGAAAAAAATAGTCCAAGACAACATTTTCCATGGTTGACAAAAAAAAAAAAAAAAAATGGGTGCGACTATTGCCATAAGATATTTTTAAATTCTTAAATCCACATTGACAAGTTGACAGAGGCAGCATTCTGCAAGCAAGCAAGCTGTCACATTATTATTTTTGATTCACCAATTCAAAGAGACGGTTTAGCAGCCATCCCTTGGAACAACAAAAACAAATGCGATTCCGGGCCGGATGACACAACTAATGCATAGCCTGGTGCCATTAATGGGGGTAAGGGGGGGGGGCATTGCCTACCCGCAAGGGCCCGATTCCCAAGTAAATTAATAGCCGGGCAACTCAAAAAAAAAAAAAAAAAAAAAAAAATGAGGCAAACGTCTGAGGAATTGGGAGCTGAGGGAAATGCGTCTGCTTTGACCAACATGATGGACCAAAGCAAGAGAAGCAGGAAAAGGACAACGGCACATCAAGAAAATGGCTTTCAGGGGCAGATTGAAAGGGTGACACTCACTCTAATTAAAGTACTGTAATTGTTTTGTTACAATGACAAATCGGTGCGTGGCTAGCCCTGTATCTAAAGCAGGCATGAATTGTATTTTCCCTCATTGAGCAGCACTTCATCACCAAGACGCTGCGTAATGTTCTTCTGTTTTGCAGCATGTGGATGCTGTTGCACACCCCTTGCTTGTTCACAAGCAAATTGAAACATCCATCTCCGATGCATTAGTCTGAAATTTGCTGCGGTTTGTGCCGCGATGGTGCACATCACTGATAATCACTTGAGTTGTGGTAATTTAGCCAAACAGCTTCACACGACGCAACGAGTGACGGGTCTGTGAGTTTGTGATGAAGTTGCCCCGACTTGATTTCTTTTGTGTTTGCAGGCCGCCAAGCTAATGCGGCCGCACAATGAGAAGCCGCCCACGGCCGCAGCGCCAGCGTGGGCGGCCTTTCAAGCACAACAAAGCAAATGGAGAGCCACTTGCTCTTCAACTTACAAATGTGTACATACTGGACACGGACATGTGCGAGTGAGCCAGCGGACATCAAACCCCGCCGTCACCCCACCCCACCCCCCTGCAGATTGGAAAACTAATAAGTAAAAATGAAGTAAGAACTAACTACAGTATGATATAAAATCCCAAACTATTAGAACCAGACGAGTACAGATCCATTTAAAAATATATAAAAACAAAATCATTTAAATCTTCTTTAAGCAAATAAGTGCTAGGGGTGTACAAAAAAATCGATTCACTGAACTATCGGGATTTTATTTGCCAAGGTTCAATATATCGATGTCGAAGTTCGGAATCGATTTTCATAATTTTTTTCAAAAAACCAAGGTGAAGTTACCACTTTTCTCCAGGAGATGGCAGCACGGAGCCAATTTGTTGTAGTGAGGATTGGATTAAAATGTTTTTATATATACATATACATACATATACCTGTATATATACACACACACACACACACACACACACACACACACACTATTTTTTGGGGGGAGGAAAAACACAGATAACCGTGATATTGAATCTCAAATCACAATACAATCAATATTCGTGCTATAAATCAAATAATCGCTCAAGTATTGCGATTTGAATCGAATGGTAGGTGAATCCCCCCACTCCCAAGTAAGTGTATCTGTGTATCAAATGACCAATACAAAAGTTGTGATTTTTCTATGGGTTGATCAGCAGTGACATACATCCACATTTGTGGTGCATTTTTTTTTGTTTTATTTTATTTTTTAAATAAAATCATCTGCAAGCCTTTGATTTTCAAAGGTAATATACAATGAGTGTGAAATTACTCATCGGGACAGTTATCCATGTGTTGTTCAGCTTCACTGTTTTAGTCTTGTTGCTGGTCGGGGAGCAGCTGCCGCTTGCAATCTAACAATCGACGCATTTTCCACCAGCGGAACGATGAAACACAAGCAGAGGTAATTGTTAGCCGGCAAGCCCGTAAATCATCGGGCTTGTTTCGCCGAGTGGCGAAATTGGATGGAGGCTGGAAAGAAAAATGCATCAAGATGTTGGGTGAGAGCAAGTTTGCGCACAGAAAAGTGAGGCCAGGCAACGAGACGGAGCGAGGCGCCAGGCGAGGGAACGAGCGGCGAGCGCCCGACGCCCACCAGGTCACAACAACAAACAAAAACAGACATGCGCACACAACACACACACACACACACGTGTGTTGTTCATAAAGGAGTAAAGATGAGACTCTGCCATGTGATTCATCTCTGACTGTCTGGCCTCTGGGATGCCTGACATGATTAATAAGGTCGGCCGTGCCGCTCCAAGAACCACATCAGCCGGAATTCCACAGGCGACCGTCCATCCATTTTCTATCGCGCTTGCCCTCATTAGAAGCAAATTCCAGCTTCTCTCCCCGTTGACTTTCTGGTAAGAGAAGCTGGGTGCACTTTGGACTGATCACTGGTAGTCAAGTCAAGTCAACTTTATTGTCAAATGTGCTCTATGTGCAACATACAACACAGATGAAATTTCTTTCCTCTCAACCACAGGAGAGAGTGATGCGAGCAAGGCATTAGTCCAAAAGGTGCACGTTTACATTCCTATGTTGTCTTTATTTAATTCAAGCTGACACCGGAATATCAATGAGAACCACCATTCAGCACCAAAGGCACTTATCACTAATCACTAAGTCGCATTTGACCACACTTACAGAGCACATACTTAACAGCGATGGTGGTCCCTTACGCACATATTGCACATGCAACTAAACTAATCGGTAACGATGCATAAAACACAGCCAAGGCACTCAACAGTTTTACATTATGGAACAAAAATGGGAGCTTTGGTATTTAGTTTGAGCAGTGAGGCACTGCGTAAGTGACATCACATCACGTCGGCGCAAATCATGCTTTCAGCACGTTTACAACTGTGACGCATTCAAGTCAAGTACAACTTTATTGTCAAATGTGCTGTATACAGCACAGATGAAATTTCTTCCCTCTAAACCAGACAACAAGACCACAAGAGGAGCATTCAGAAATGTTTGAAGAGTAACTCAAGGATATCCCTGCTTTGAAAGATGTATTATGTTTCTTTATTTTCTTTATTATAGCTATTATAATTTTGTTAAACTTATTTTAACATAATGTATGTAAAAGATGTTAATTGGATTGCCTGATGTATGTGATGTTTAAAAAAAAAAAAAAAAAACGTTGCCAACTCACGTGTTCACAGCAGACCACACACGGTGGATAGTAACCGGTCGTGTCCGACCGCGTTGCGTTTAAGAATATTGACGACGCACAGCAGGATTTCTTGTCCTGGCTGCGTTTAATCGTCTCAACCACAAAGCCTGACAAAAAGAGCAGAGAACAATGTACTCCCGTCAATTATTGAGTGACACATCGTAGCCCCTCCCCATGGACGCCAAGAGAAAATGGGATGACACTTAACACAACTTACCTGACGAAAATAGACGAAAACAATGTCCTCCCGTCAATTCGAGTGATACAGCGTGCCCCTACACAAATTATATGGCCAACATTATGAACATTATATTTAAATACTTAAACTTGTGAATGAAGACAAAAGTTTCTTCCAGCTCTAAAAACACTTACCTCACCTCTCCATGGATATCAACAGAAAGGGGGTAAAGTCAAAGGCGGGAGTTGTACTTAAAAGAGGAAGTGCCACATTAATTAATGAAGTAGGGGAACACATAAACATTTTTGTTCCCCCCTCCGCACTTCAAAATGGAGGCTAGAGTAAAAGACCACGTCAAGTATTTATCATTTCACAGATTTGGTGTAATTATAATGCATTTTCAAGTTGTATTTTTTTGAGTTTGCGTCAGCTAAAGACAAAAATGTTAAGGTTTGTTGCATTGTCATAAGAATATTAATAGTTAAGTATGTCAGGTAAGGAAAAACAATGCTCCTATTGGTTATTATGTGAAAAGATGTTTTTATTTTAAGTGAAATCTAAAAAAGGATTTCTTCATTTTATTTGAGGTTTTTTTTTATAAAATAATAAGCAGCCCAATTATGTGTAGTGAAAATCAGAATAGAAAAATGATTATTTTTAAATAAAAAATGAAATAATTTAAGTCCTAAAGCTTATCTTTATTTTATTTTTCATAAAAGTCTTAATTCTTATACGTCGCTGTTAAAAATGCAACAGTTAATGAAAGTGGTAAAACGGTCATTTTAATGCTAGGCGGGGGTTGCTGACTTCACGGAATTATTTATTATATCATTCGTGCCATTCAGCACACGTCAAGTCAATCATCTCACCATCATCATTATAAAGCGACATTGATTGCGCTGTAACCATTTGAATGATAACATGCTGTTTGTCCTCGTCGTCTGGGTTGAGAGCAGTATTGGCTGCATGCAGACCATTGCTCTGACAAACGAGCCATCAATGAAGCCCATTAATCTCGTCCTTGATGACTTTGGCAGGTTTGTTGTCCACACAAATCCTTTGGAGGCTTCGGCTCGGTCCCTCATTAATTCCTCACTAGCAAGTGCAAAGTTGGAAAAGCTGCTTCCCAAGTGGAGAATGGATTTTGTCGTCATGTTTTGTTTTGTTTTGTTTTCACAAGCAAGGCAGAAAGGGGAAGTGCAAGTATGGTAGCACTGTCGCTGTCTCATTATCTGCCATGGCTGCCAGTCTTCACTGTCACGGACCAAGCGTTGGCTTTGATTCTATTTCTGACACTTGACAATTCCCTGACAGCCTGACGGACTGTGAGGGGGAAAAAAATGACCAGATTGACAGGAGGGCTGCAATCCAGACCAGGATCCGATATGTAAGGCTCATCCTGGATTTCTTTTTTCTTATTATATATTCTACTAGCTGATACTATTGTGTGTACACTTTTTTTTCTCAACATTGTACTCAATTCATGAGAAACTATACAGCACGGTGTCAAACTCAAGGCCCGGGAGCCAGATCCGGCCCGCCACGTCATTGTATGTGGCCCGAGAATGCAAATCATGTGTCAACTTTCATGATCCTTGCTAAAATCTGGAACGAAATGTCAAATTGTCATGGGTAATAAATAACGTTGAGATTTTGCAACGGCCCTCCGAGGGAAGACGTAACTCCGAGGGTGGCCCTCGACAAAGAATGAGTTTGACACCTACTTCACAGCATCCCTCAATCTTTACTGAAATTGTTGCAAAACATGCCATTCACATTTTCCTTACAAAAGTCACAATTCAGATTAGACTTCATTAATAGTAATATTTTTTTTAAAAAGATAAAATAATCTCAACGCTGGTCATTCCAAAAAAGGCATCCACCCTGTGTACAGGCACACTCATAGCAAGATAAAAACCCTATTAAGCAAACAAGGCATCGGTTTGTTTGCATTTTCTTTAATATTTCTTTTTTACAAAATGCATATACAATCTGAGAGAGCTTTGAAGATTTCGAAGGAGCGGCTGTCAATGTGAATTCTCGTGCATGCAGACAACTTCTCTCAAATGGCAGAATCGCAAAGGCAACACAACACAGCGTCAAATGAAACGTCGGACGTGCGTTGTGACGTCAGAGCCGGAGTAAGGCCAAAAACCAAGACTGGGCTGGCTGTCCTGAACGTCCTTCACATTGGCTTTATGGGGGCGACACATCCACAAACATACCCAACATTTACTTTCACACTTTCAGTGCCCTGATTCATGTTCAGCCTTAAACAGGACACATTATGAAAATGTGACTTTTTTTTTTTTCGGAATTGCTTCTACATAGAAGCAAAAGCACATCTTTTATGACTTTCTTCTGTGAAATGAATCAGCGATGGGAATGCGCATGCGCCATTCATTTGCAGTCTGGACCACAAAAAGTGACTAGTCACTTTAATTAGTTGCCCGAGGGCTCAGAAAAGTCGCTCAATATAAGTTACAGTGCAAATGTTGGCAACGGTGGGTACCTCTTGCTTGTGTCGCAATGCCTTAGCTCCGCCCCTGGTCGCCATGGTAACAAAAGCTATTCTCGACAAGCGTGACACAGAGCAAATTTCGCTTTGTGTATTTTGAGGACACTCGGGAACCGTTTAAAATTGTGTGTGTGGTGCGGCGAGGGGTGCCCATTATGTCGCTGCCTTTAAGTGACAAAAACAATCATTAATGCTCGTTAGCGGTGGACTATAAAGGGGAGCGACACAGCACGCGAACAAGTCATACTTCTCCCAACGCTGAAACTGTCTACACACACGTATGGTGAACTTGCATCTTTCAACTACTACGTTTCTGCAGATGTGTAAACGCAGAGCATAATGGATTGGAGGGGGAGGAATAGCGCTTTGACGCTCCAAAGTCAAGGACAGCGCGGTGGCACGTTGCTGCCGACACATACTTAGCATGTGACACACGCTCTCTGTGCTCAGGATTTCACCGGCCAGGTTCTGAGAGCTTTTGTCAATTTGGCGAAGAAAAAGCACCATTTGCGCAAATGAACAAGTTGTCCATTAGCATTGTCGCCTACACACGAGCACGCATATTTTGCTTTATTTTCCAGCAGAGTGTGAACTCACCCCTGTTAAAATGTTCCTGTGCAAGTATGAAGGGGAAAAAAAAACAAAGATGAACCTCGTTTCCAAGGCCAGTCCTCAAAATAATTAAACTGACAACAGCATTGGCAATCTAGTTTGGAAAGTTTGCCACGACTGGTTCATGGGCGCAAAGTACAGTTCAGTTGTATTTAACTTGAAGTTTGATAAGTTCAAAATGTGCATGATACAATGGCTACATGGTTTCAAATTTGACGACAGCATGACAAAAGGCGACCAATGGAAAACGACTCCAAAAGGTCGCAGGACTTCGTGGAAAATTGTCAATGTTTCTTTTTGAAAGGAGTGCAATATTTTATCCATGGTCATCTTAAATGGGACGATTTGTTTTAACGGGGGTGTCCTCTTTTTCTAGACCCATTCTCAGTATACATTGAACTGCAATGTCAACCCCTCCCATAAAAGCGAAAGGAATTGTTCTAAGTATGGGTGTTCTCACTTTACACCCAAGTTTCATTCTTTGGGCGTAACTTGAATTTGTACTGAAGTTGGAATGTGTCGTAGTCATTAACATACGCTAACGTTTCCATTAAAACCAGACCATTGATTGATTGATCCCCTTTTAGCATAACTGCTGAAGCCATTTTTAACGTTCACGTAACAATCACATTTACCAATGTGTTTACTGAAAACTGTTTTTGTGTGTGTGCTGGCAACTAGAATCAAGCATTGTCTATTTTTTTTTGTTGGTGTTTGCTTAGGCAACTGTCAACATGCAAATGAAATGCAAAACAATGAGATTCCTAATCTCATAAATGGAGGACTCCGTGTAATTTTTCTTTCCGCTCTTGGTCAAAAGACGCATTTATTTTTGCTGTTTTCAACCAAACAGTGACTTCAGTACGCTCTTGTGTTTTAGCCTCACCTCATTGATACATTTTGTCTGATTGTGAGAGGCATGGGGACATAAACATGAAAACAAGAAAGGGAAATGACAAGAGTTGAAAGTCTCCCATTTTGCACATTGAGGTAATAAAAAAAAAAGTGGATATCAAAATGCGCGTGTGAAAGACAACAAATGAGGACGCTACGGTGCTGATCATTCAAACGCTGTCTGGTGCGGGCGGGCAGGTCGCGTGTAGCACGTAAGGTGTCCACAAAGGTGTGTAAATATCTTCAGATTACATCATGTCAACTCGCATGCATTTTTTATTCTTTTTTTTCCTTTCTGCCAACACAAACACTGCAGGCACTGGAACTGAGAACGTACATAGATAAATCTTCTCTTGTTTACTCACTTGAAAACAACCCCCCCCCTCAAAAAAAAAAAAAAAAATAGCGGCCGGTCACTCACGGTAACGTCTACTGTCTTGGCGTCAAGCGAGTGGCGCCACCGGGCGAGCGCGTCAACGTGACCTCTCTGAGAGAACAATGAAAGCGTCGTGCTTTGCGTCCTTGCTCAAACGTGCGCTTCCCATGTCTGTCGTGTGTCGAGGTTTATTGCGAGAAGGTGAGCAGAGCGCGACGTTCAAGACGACCGGCCGGCTGCTGATTCAGTGTGGACTTGAGAGAAAAGCTGAGGCAAAGGTGGAGCAGCTTGCGAGCAAACTTGCCGCGGCCCGATGCGTCTATCATCTGGCGTAGTGCTTGATGTAATCTTGAACTTTGTTCCGAAAATCTTCCTGAAAGCAGACAAAAGCCGCAATGTTGTTACTACAACAACGGCGGGGATTTGTAAAGGGATCTCACGCACACGCACACGCACACACACACACACACACACACACACACACACACACACATTTGAAGACAACATGCAGTGGACAGAAAAAGTTTCCGCACCCCTCTAAAAAAAATGACATCAGGTTGAATAATTGTGCAACGTTCGTCATTAATAATCGTTAGCGTGACCTCCATAAGGTAAAAAAAAAAGTGTTAAGAATTAACTAAATGCATTCAAACATAATCATGTCAAATGGGTGACAGCACCCAACTGCTTTGCATGAATACCAAATCAAGTTCAGCTGTTCCAGGTTACTTTTTTTTTTTTGGGGTGACATTCAGTTTTGTTTTCTCGCAGCTGCCTGAAGGGTTTGTTCTTACATTGACGACTATTTCAAACCACCTTTGCTCAGCAGAAGCGTGCAGGTTTAGCGTTCATTCAAACTGAGCAAAGCCTGAAAAAAAGCCCAGCCGCAGTCTCCGTCCTCCGGTTCATTGCATTGGACCGTTCTATCTTATTAAGCTGTTCTTCTGATTCCTTCGAGTTTCATCTGACCTCTATTTAAAAGTTTAACTTCTTCCATTTTTTCTTTTTGCACCCAATTGATAGCACGCTGCTTCATCAATCAAACAAGCACCCCCAGTCCCTCCCCACATTGTGTAATCAGCAGCTCGTTGTGTGTTTTGCACAATTCCTAATTAACGTGTAACCCATTTATCATTGCAGCGGCGAGCGCAATTATATTACGTCCCTGCACTCTGCCTAATGCAACATTTCACATCAGCCGTTCCGTGAAAAAAAAAAAGGTGAAATTAAGCAGGAGCGACAGGAGTTGTGATTGTCCCCAGACGTGGGGCATCTCGTCAAAATCAAATTGCTTTTGGCCCTTTTCAAGAATGGGTGGGAGACAACCACAGTCTCGGTGACTCCTGGCATCCCCCCCTGAGGGAACTATTGAGCGGTCTCCAACGAGCAAAGAGCTGAGCTAATTTTCATCAATGCCCCTTTGGCAAAAAGAAGAATATACTGTACAGGGATTGCTTCGGAGAGGCTCTTCGGTCTGTTTGGATTTTAGCCGATGATGTCGACAGTGAAAAAAAGATCCAAGTTAGGTTCATTAAAAAAAAAAAGAACCCCCACAGATCATTATTTAAAGAAAGCTTAATGAGACACCACCTGGGGATCTAAAAAAAAAAAAACACCTCCACTTGGCTATTCATTAGCTTGAAGAAACTCTGCAGTCTATTAAAAACTTTTCGGCAATGCTCCAATCACGCAAGGCATTTATCACTCCTCTTCCCTAATTATCAGCGATTTCCCATCATGGGGGGGAATAAACAAAAGCCTTTGGGGATGAACTGCTTCTCTAACAACTGCTGCGTGTTGAAAAGGAAGCAAAGCGCAGTCCGGTGACGACAGAAACACGGTGAAGGCCAGAATGACGCGGTGCAAAAAAAACCAAAAGAAAATCAGGCAGTCAATGCTGGCACAATCCCACAGCTCACCGCTCATGAGCTGTGGAAGATAATTCACATCGGAGGTAACTCCGTGCAAGGGGGCTCACGCTCAGATGATTTGAAGTGTTTTCATTTGTTGTGACTGCAGAGGACCGCAACAGAAAAGTAAAAGAGGCTTTTACCTGGAACTGCTGAGTCAGCAAAACAATCCGAACAAAATTCTTTTTTTTTTTTTTGAAAAGACTCTTTTCTTCTTCCTTCCCACACACACATTCTCCTTTTGGAACATGGCTTGCGGTTTTTCAGCCAAATAGCGGCACATAGGTTTCACAGAATGAATGCCAGAGGGTGCGTTTGAAAAGCGCACTTTTGACCAACTTGCATCCGCGTAAAATACGCTCTCTGGGATCCATGTGATTCCTGTACCATTAAATGTTGTTCACCTTTGCCTTTTGCCCGTAAAAGCAAAAAGGCTCAAAAGTGAAGGAAAAAAGTCAAACACAGAATTGTAAATATTTCCCGAGGTGCCATTTCGTGCTGATTAGACTTGCAAATTGTTGAGCTTGCCTTCCTCCCAGCAGGCACCAAGTTAGATGAGAGTGCGGGGACGAGAGCTTTTGGAAAGAAAAAAAAAAAAAAACACACCATCTGTGGCCGCTCCCTGCCTACATCTCCAGATAACGCGGTTGCTTTTCTCGCAAGCTAACGACCAACGCATAACACCCCTTGCGAAGGCATGCGACAACTACTGTCCAGAAGAAGTCAGTCACACTGCAGCCGCATCAGAAATTGGTACTTTCATTTTTATTCGATTTTCCCCGTGAATAAAGACAGGCACAGCAGGAAGTGTGCCAAGCTCAAGGTTTTGAATCTCAAGTGGGACCCATTTGCGAATCCGTTATGCTGAATGTCCCTGTGGTGAATGGCTGGAGACTTTTTGGTTGAAAACGTTGAGTTTGAGGAAACTTTTACAAAAATATTAGCCTGCAAGGTGTTCATTTTTAGAAGACGATAACATCGGAATGATGTGAATCAGCTGAATGATGTGGAAGGAGATGCATGTGAAAACGGGAATCATCAAGGAATATGACTTAAGGCTACTCAATAATTGTGAAGATCAATCAAGGACATTTCTGGGGAATGAAATGGCACAGACCCACCTTATCTCTCAAATGATGTTCTGCCGCGTCAATGTTCAACGGGTCATCAAAATTCAACAAGTCCTACGGGAGATGAGACGTGACATCAGAAGAAGAAAAAAAAAAAAAAGAGCGAATCATCCGCATGATAAGAGCGCCAATAGTATGTATGTTGTGAGTGAGCATCACAGGAATTGGGCGTCGTCATCTCTCAGGGCGAACACAATTGGCAAGTGGAGTCAATTTCAATGAAAAACTCTTCAGTTTCGCAGTCTTCCAGGACTTGCTGCCAAAAGCGCCAAATCTCATTTTGTTTCCTTGTTTGTATTTCACAAGCATCTCAAGGCGCCCCCCCTCCCCCTTCCCACCATAATGGGAAAGATTATTTCCCCCCATGTCAGTTGTGATAGCCGGCTCCATTGCGGCTGCCGAGCGAGACAAGCAACGACTCTTTTGGAACTCAATTACAGCTTGACGAATTATCACCGACGTGACCTACATACCGATCAACATTTTTAAAACGTTAACCGTGTGGATCACCGTGCTCGCGGGATGAACCCGCGGCACAATCGGCAAATTGGAATCATCAACTAACATCCAAGTGACTTTGAGGAGACAAATATGAGCGCACCTTTTGATCCCGGCGAGACCTTTGAAATCATCCTCATTAGCGTGCGCCGCTTTGCATGCGGATGAGGCGCTTTGCGCAAAATTGGAACAACTGGCATGTCGTCCGCTTGAATTCGCACGTATCAGAATGTAACCATTCAACAAGCCTTATCAATCCTTTCCAAAAGTATTGGAACAATAAAACCATTTCCACCATCGATTAAAAATAATTATGTGATTAGGTGAAATTATAGTTCAGGTTGAAAAATAATAACTTACGGTGAACAACGAGTTCAATCCCCAGACCACGTCCTACAGAAGAAAAAAATCCATTATATTTGTGAATGTCTCCAGAGTCTTGGATTCATCAGGAGTGGCTCAAAATAACATCTTGCAATTTACCTTCAAGGTTCTGGTGGGGGCCCACCCTGTGCCATCGATAGAATGTTCCCGCAATAGGCTGAAGTCAAAGAAACAAGGTGCGACTGATTATTTAGGACAACGCATTTCAAACGCCGCTTAATTGATTTGAGCAATTCAAGAAAGCCCCAACAGTGAATTCATATCATGCCTTGATGATGCTTCTTTCTGGTCTTCTTCCCACAGCATGTCGAATTAATGCGGTGCAAATAAAATCCCACAGTCGTGAGTGCGGTGTTGTAATGTCATACCTCAGGCAGATCTCCCCATTCTCTGTGATATTTGGATGCCATATTCTGGTCAGACATCGCACTTTTGGAGGCTGGAGACAAAAAAAACGCAGATGCGGCATATTTTCAAATTTACTCTTAATTTGCTCCTCATCCTGGCACAATATTTGGCTCAAGTCCTCAAAAGCGCGTGGAAAAAACAGTCTCCTTTTCTTCCTTCCGTCTCTCAAATGCTACTTTGGACGTTTTTTTTTTTCCCAATCTGTTGTTTGGGTGTAATTGTGAATAGTACGGTACTACTGCGGCAATCTCATTTTCCCTCACGGGATGAAAAACGATAAGGCCGTGTTTATCTATCCCGACCCACCAACTGATTGGAAGAAAAGAAAGCAAACCTAGAATGCGATTGCAGCCGAACACAGACAAACACAGAAGCTCGCGGGCGAGATGACTTCATTACAAGGTCGGAAAGTGTTCGAGCCACTCACCACCATGTTGTAGGCTTCGGGCACGTTGATTTCAAACTGAAACCTGCCACTTTGGTAGTAACCTTCATCTGGAAGGAAGGAGGAGGGACAAATCACGGCATCGGAAATAAACAGCAGTGAGACACACGCACGCGTTTGGGGCGCAAGTCTGCCTTTACCCGTCTCTACCAAATGACTAAACAATCCACTGCAAAAAAGGACAGAATGTGACTTTCAAGGGAGGCCGACTATTCAAGTGAACAAGATTTCTTGGTGTGGTGACAGGAAGCAGCACAAGGTGACTGGCGAAAAGAGAAAAAAAAAGCACAACACGCCGTTTATTCCAGTGGTGATCCACATTTGGGGCCGCATTGCAAGTTGATTCAAGACTTTATTTACATCGTCCACAGGTGACAATATGAGTATGGAATGGTTGTTCAGAGGATTCTTGAACAGCATTTGCAGAAATTGGTTTGGGATTCTCTCCAACCGTTAAAAAAATTTTAAAAATGCAGTTGAAACTAGCCAAGCTCATTTGAATGAGGAACCGAGCTTCAAAACTCAAACAGGCTTCGAAGCTTAAAAGCCGCATGAGCAAGCCAAGCCAACCAGACGAAATGACGCGACTTGGCTGGAGGGGCTTTGAATCTTTTATGTACGTACGAAGCAACAAGGAAGCGTTCCTCGAGGCGGCTGGCGCTCGCTATTTGGCCGACTTCTTGCAATTACGTTCACTTCAGTTTTATATGCACGTGAGGCGGATGGACGAACCCCCACGTCAACCGTGCACCAATGTGAAACTCGAACGGGCTTTTTTTTTTTTTAAACATATGAGGAAACGCAATAAAAGCAGCTATCAAAAGTGCCATTTAATTATGTTTGTGTTTATTGTGCCGCGGATCATATTTGGTTTGACACATACAGCGACAAAGGAGGATGGGACGAAAACCGGCAACATCAAAAGTGAAGCGTTTCAAACTTTTTCAAACAGGTTCAAAAAAAGAAAGAAACGACACAAGAGAGTTTGGCTGGACTAATTGCTGCATTCAGAGCTCATAAATAAATCATTTGTGTCTGCAGCACACTGACTGAAGCAACGAGCGAGGACTTGCGCCTCAACGCACACAAATATTTCAAAGCATAACCGAACTCAGGTGTGACTTATTCTAAGACAGGCAAGAACCGGAATCACTTAATGCCAGCGACTGACAGTTTAATTCCCTGAAGGTAACACTACATGTGTTTTGGTGTTCACGAGGAGAAAGCTCATTTGAATGGCTTTGTCAAAAAAAAAAAAAAAAAAAAGACAGACCGTTACTGCGCCCTTGTGGTCACTGATGCACACCTCGTGGAAATAGACAGATGAGGTTTGTGTTTAAAGAGGCTCAACTTCATTACACGTAACTGGCAGGGGGGAAAAAAATGACCAAGAGTGCTGACTCGTGCAGTCTGGTCACAGCTGCGAAGCACCGTTGACTCAGACGGTCAACGAGCACATTCATTTCGATATTCACAAGAGCCGTTTGATCAAGACGTCCTCGTTCATTCAGTCGCGACTGCATCTTTTCCCCGGTGTGCAGTTTGTGGCCGCGCGGTTTCAACAGCATATGGGTGAATGAGAGCAAAGGGGCAAAGCTTCATTGTAATTTGCAAGAAATTATACGGGGGGTGCGCAAGACCTTCGTTTTGAACAGCCGAGCTAGTTTTCCTCTTTGAAATTCAGGCTTCTTATCGGATTCACTTAAGAAAAATGACAACAGCCCTTACAATGTGCTGATCTTTGCTCTTCAGCAAAGATTTTGCTTAC